ATTTGGACACTTTATATTTTCTATTTTGTGGCAAAAATTAATATCTCTTAACAAAAGATAAAAATTAAAAAATTAAAAAACAAAAATGAGACTTCACTTTGAAAGCAATATCTAGAGTTTCAATAGATTATACGAAAGTAAGAGAAATTTATTACTATCTTATATTGTTTGTTGATAATTAATTATATCTCTTTTATTAGTAGAGAGGTGTCAAGACTTCATAATCTCAGCTCTAACAGCATGTTTTGCGTTGCTCTTGAAAAAAAATTAAAAGTGCTTCTATTTTTTTAAAAAATAGATTAACTTGTGTTTGGTATTTTAAAAAAAAAAAAAAAAATCATTGGAGTTTTGAAGCATTCCAATTTGCATGTACCATTATACATATGATTTTGTAAAATTTTTGTATAATGTACCCTTTAAAATTATTCTTTTCTAAAAATGTCTTCTTCTTTTTTTTTTTTTTTTTTTTTTTTTTTTCATAATTGATACTCACACTCACATGGCTCGTTGATTCTTTTCTAAAAATATCTACTTCTTTTTTTTTTCCCTTCCCTTATTACTCTTCTTAAAAAAAAAAAAAAAAAAAAAAAAAAAAGTGATAAAAGGTCGAGCTTTTCATTCTATGTACCATCAAAATCTATCAATAAATAAACTTATTATATTTTCATTCACAGGACATCATGGTCCTAAAAAATGAAGAGTAATACCTTTTTTGTAATTTTCACCACAAAATGGTGATAGGAAGTAGTATTTCCACTTCCATGTAGGAGGTTGAAATTCAGTGGGTATGTCAGGCGTCTTATTCCTCTAATCTTTGAATAAAAACAAAAAAAAAAAATAAAACAAAAAGCAAAACAAAGAAAAAAATGAAATTTGTTTGTAAGACTCTCATTAGCTTCATTAGAATTTAAGGATTTCTAATATAATAATTAATATTAAATTTATTTAAAAGTATGACTTAAATTTAAATTTAAATTTAAATTTCATGATTTAGATATTTGTTGTAAGTACATGTGCGACATCAAAATTAAAATATTTATCTACTAAAGAGTATAACATAATTATTTATACATCTCTATCACACCTCTTAAAAGTGTCAATCATAATTTTAAGGGTAAAAATTAGGTTGCAACTCAGCATGTTGGGCTAGTTGAGAGTACAACTTGAGCCGAACCCCACATGAGAAATATTCAACTTTTTCATCCTAACTATTTAATCCAAACTCAATCCATCAATATATTTTTAAACTCGAGTTTACAACTTTAAAATTTTAGGTTAAAAAATTGGGTTGACCAATCTCCATATTAAAACTTTAATTTAATTTTGAGTTAATTTCAGATTAAATTAATTCAAAACACAAAAAGTTTTTAATAAATTATTGCAAATTTTTAATAAATTACAAAAAAAATCTCAAAAAATTAATTCTCCGAAGTATTAACATACTATAAAATAAGATTTAAACAAAGGAAGTTGAAAAAGAAAAAAATGTGATCATAAATTGAGTACGATATTTAAAATATTTGAATATTATATATAACGTATTTATATATAAAAATAATATTAAAATTGGAATTTGGATTTGCTCGGGTTGTTAATAAAATCTAAACGCAATTCTAATTGCAAAAATAATTATCCAAACTTGTGAAAAATCAGACTAAGTTAGAGTTAGTTTTTTGTATTGCTAAGCACAAATTGCATCCCTAATAAAATTGAGATTTTAACTTTTGAATTTATGTACTCTTATATAATTGATGTCATGTTAATCCCAATTTATTTTACATTAGAAACTTAAATTATTAGAGAAAGATGTAAAATAAAATTATTTATGTCCACCAGCAATGTGTTAATATTTGAGACGCTCTATGCATGGGGATTGTCAACTAACCATATGTACAAAATAATTTTAAATTCACATTAACAAAATTTTTAGTTATATATATATATATATATATATATTAATTGATAAGAAATTCACACACATACTTTACATATTTAAAGATTCAAATCTTCACAATCTATTTTAAGAGGTAAATGAGATATTACATGCGCTTGATAATTTTATAATTACATCAATATATTTATTGTTCATATCTCTAATTTCACATCAAAGGTATCTCTCCCAATTGTATAACCTCACATTCTCATCGAGGAGGGCTCCACTACAAGCGAAAATTTTCTGCAAGATTTAATTTTTTTGTCAATGTAAAAATAATAATAAAAAAATTTTAATTTGACATTCCTTAAACTTTCAAATTCAACTTGAAACTCAATCTTTTAATTGAAAATTTGGTAGCATCCAGTCAAATAAAAACAAATGGATTATTGAGGAATGCACTTACACTCACACGCCACACAGTCTTGTGTAATTTATCACCATCCAAAATAGAATGTCCAGCAAGAAACTACCAATAGGCTAAGTGTTATAAGGGGGTTGTTCCATATTGGATAGGGATAGAAAGTAACATGGGCGTAAATGGGGAAGTATCACTATCCAATAACTAAAACTTTTGAATAAATGAGTAAATGCCCATTCTTTATAGTTAGTATCAGAGTCAGACCCAATCCTTAATCTGGTGTCACACCAAACGTCCGACTTGGAAGGCTTCCGAGTCTTCTCCCCGAGTAGACAGGGTGGTCCGACTGCAACGACGACGTTGCGGGGTTCAGATAAGGGAGAATCTTACAAAAGAAGACTTGTCCTACATCGGATCTAGATGGAAAGTGACATGAGTATAAATAGGCAAGTGTCTACCCATTATATTATGCCTGATCTTTGGTAACCTTGTGCTAAGTCATCACATTCCAAAATAGAATGTTCACTTCAAATAAATAAATAAATAAATAGACCTAATATTTTTTAGATTTGAGACTATAGATATTACTGGATTGTTGCTTTTAAATTATATCACTTGAAACTCATATATTGGTTATTTTATTTAATTTTTTACCAATAAATACGAGACTATTAAGGTCTGTTTGGTATGCTTTTATTTTTGACGTTTTGTTTTAACTTGGAACAAAACAATTATTTTTATTATATAGTGCTTTGAATAGTAATCAGAAGCATGTTAGGTAATTTGTTGTAAGATTTTTGAAAACAAAAATATGAAAACATGTTTGATAAAAAAGTATTACAATTTTTAAATATATAATGGTCAGTTTTAAAATATTATTTAAGAGTTTTTAACCTTTTTTTTTAAATAAAAAAAATTTACTATTTATCAATACAGTTCCAAACAATAACACCAAATTGGTGTTTGGATTTTTTGCTATACTGTGCAAAACAAAACAATTTTTACTAAACACACTCGACAAAAACAAAAATATTAAAAATAAAATGCATAGCAAACATAAGTCTTGAATCTTGATTGTACACTGTACATCCTTCATCTGCAAATGACAATTTTTATTTTTTGTCAAGGCGAAAAGTGTTATAAGTTTTAGATTAATAAACATAAAGAGTCAAAATATAACATTTCAAAATTCATCAAAAACACCCCTTCATTGTATTACCGAGACATCAAATAAAAAGTGGTTTCTTCGCTGTCAATAAATTAGATGAACTGATTTATGGTCAATAAATCAGATGAATGAAAAAAACAAAAAACAAACAAAAAAAATTGTCAGCATCACTGACCATTGAAGAAATGCAAGTGGCATTCCAGAGTCATTTGATGATAACAATTATTTTATTTTATTTGGACATAGATAATAAGATTTATTGAGCGGTTGAGAGTTGTACACAAGTGTAGCTTAGAAAGTTGGGATTCCCCGATATCATTAATTCATATTGTTTTTATGCACATAGATTCTAATCGATTCCATCCTGTCTCTTTCTCTGATAAAATTGATTACTTAAGCTAGTAGACAAACAAAGCCGTGTCACAACAAATTACCCAAGAGTGTGTGTGTGTGTGTCTATATATATATATATATATATATATTTTAACCTTTTTCAAATTTTGTGACCAATTGGAATAGTTTGGGTATAGTGGGTTTGTTTGTTTCAGTTTTTCTTTAAAATAATTTTTTTTTTTTTTTCTTTTTCAGATTTGGAAAAAAAATTTATAAAAAAATTTGCTTGATTTAGAAAATCGTTTTTTCTAAAACTCAGTTTAAATATAGAGAATTGTTTTGCGAATCACACAATTCACAAATCATACATACTCTAAAATTCTACCCAAAATTAACAAAATTTTCCCTCACAAGACTAGGAAAGTACCCGAATGGTATTGGGTAAATATATATATAAGAAAGTACCCGAATGGTAACACACACAAGATAGAGAAAGGGGAATGACAATAATTCATGTGCGATTATTATTATTATTATTATTATTTTTTTTTTCTCTCTTATTTTAAGCAAAGATAGAAGAAATAGTAAATACACCTTGCAAAAAAAAAAAAATTTTTTCTGTTCTCATCACTCAAGAAGTACAACGAACATTTCTATCTTTCTCTCTTTAATTTATTTTTTTAACTCCACTATTTTTATCATGTTAATTGTTACAGTATTGTTTTATTTTCACTTTTCTAAATTCAAAAGTATTTAGTTAAAACTATTCACTCATTTAAAAAAAATAAAATATGTTATTTTCTTTGTAACTTTTTTATTTTTCTCGATTAATTTGATTAGGTGTTGTTCAATAAAATTAAAAATTTATTTGACACTCTCTTAATTCCAAAATAAATATCTATTTTAGGTGTTGTTCAGTGTCTTCTTTAAAACTGTGACTCATCCAAAACAGATATCATATATATATATATATATATATATATATATATATATTTTGGGTTTGAAGCGGTAGTAACTAAATTTATTTTACTATGTATTACTGTATTACTTTGATACTTGGAAATTATTGTCGGTGAGGCTATCAAATTACACCCAACTTTCTCATTCATGATGGGACCCACTAAAAACCCAATCAACGAATCCTAATTGTACACGTCAGATCACGTTACTTTTAAAAGTCAAATTAGGGACTGTTCCATATACAATACTCCACACCATTAAATACCCCGTTTCTTCCGTTTATCCCTAAAACCACCTATTTATCCCTTTTAATATCTTCTCGCCGGGAACCACCATGATTCACCGTCTCGCCGGAGTAGTCTTCCTCCTCGCGCTCTCCACACTGATCGCCATCGACGGCCGTGATCTTCCCTCAGAATTGATCAGATTACCTTCCCAAGCCTCCAGATTCTTCCGTCGCTGGGGCGGTGCCGATGACAATAAAGTCGATGGTGACGACTCCGTCGGGACCAGGTGGGCGGTCCTGATTGCTGGATCTAACGGTTACTGGAATTACAGGCACCAGGTGATCAAAGCCCTAAAACGCATATTCGAGCTTATGATATGAATTGTTGTTATTGATAGTCGATTGCATCCTTGAATTTACTGGAAATTAGTGTATATTGTACATGTGCACATATATATATATATATATTGGTTGGATTTTTACTTCTATGGATTTTAATTTAGGTTTTCAGTTGCGATAGAAAAGGTGGGATAAGGAAGGTCGAGTTTTAAAACCAAATTAATATGTATCGGATGATTTAAAAGCTTATTTGGTGATTTTGAAAAAAAAAAAGAAAAAGGGTTTTGGTTACTGTATAGGTGATTCAGAAAAAAACTATTGATTAAAATTTATTGATTTTTTTTTTTTTCATCCGGGAATTAATAGTAGAATTAAGGTAGAGCTCATGAATTTTTTGTGCTCTGTTTTATTGTTGAGAAAATAGTATAAAATAAAAGAAAATGATTTAAACCTCAGGCTTTTCTTTATTGCATAAAGAGAGAGGCTAAAACTTTTACTAAACTAAGCTTACTACAACTTTGGGATTTGGTGATTCTTTGATTTTCAAACAACACAATATATGTAATGATCTATGTTTTATTTTGTTTGTTTCCTTACTTTACTTAGCAAACAAACAGCGGTTGGAGGAACGATTTTAGATAACAAGTTCTTCTGAACTACGTGATCATCATGCTATAGTCTATTATTTTCTGTTTTAAGAGTTATTTCCTTTAAAGTGTTACCTTTCCAGTTGGTATTTACTTTAATTTTGTTTTATATGGAAGGACCACTTTGAAATCACGCCTCATCAAACCCCAAATAAAGTGTTTGTTGAGTCTCTTTATAGGACCCATGGTTGGAAACTATTATTTGAATTGGGTGGACCACTTGGTTGTGTAAAATTATATTTAAATGAATTTTTTGGCTATGCGTATTGATTTATCAAATCCCTAAATTTAAGGACGGGGACATTGATAAATATCCATACTTTATAACATTCTCCTTTTGTTTTGCCTCTCATTCATGTTGAAGCTATAATATAGCATGAAATGTAATAGTGAGTTTTATGTGCAATCGTATGATAAATCTCAATTACTGGGTATGCTTGCTAGTCGGACACATTTTATATTCATACTCAATTGTCATGTGTCCAACGATGATACTTAACCCAATTAGAAGAGTCCATTTAAGTCACTAAACGGATCACAGTATCTCCTCATGTCCATGGATATTTATGGTTTGATACAATCTATTATAACATTTTTTTATGTTCTATCTAGAAACTTTGTCTAAGGCAATTTACCCACATTGCCTACATGGAACTGTAAGTTTCACATGAAATGGTGTTTTTTTTTTTTTTTTTTTGTCTGCTTTGTCTTATGTTTTAGATAATTTAAAGTGTCTTATTGTCTTCTTTTTGTTAATTTTGACATTGCCCTTCTTTTCTCAGGCTGATATTTGTCATGCCTATCAACTCCTTAAGAAAGGTGGGCTCAAAGATGAAAACATCATTGTTTTCATGTATGATGACATTGCTTTTGATGAAGAGAATCCCAGGCCTGGAGTCATCATTAACAGCCCTCATGGAGATGATGTTTACGAAGGAGTCCCAAAGGTCTGTTTCATTCACTCCAGCCATTAGCCCACTTGTAAAATTTCATTCTTTCTCATGTGGTTGATTTACACGTGGCAGGATTATACCGGGGAAGATGTTACTGTTAACAACTTTTTTGCTGCTATCCTTGGAAACAAAACAGCTCTAACTGGGGGTAGTGGGAAAGTTGTGGATAGTGGACCAAATGACCACATCTTCATATACTACTCTGATCATGGGGGTCCTGGGGTGCTTGGTTAGTAGCATTATTGTAATTTTTTATTTTTATTTTTTATTTTATTATTTTTTTTTTTTGAAAAGTAGCATTATTGTAATATTTAGAATACAAAATTACAATTGTGGGATTTTTTTTAGGTTTAAAGCTTTAAAATTAAAACACTTTTGCCTTTTCTACTCCACATCACTTTCCTCCCCACAAACAATCACACTCACTATCCAAAACTTTAAAGGACTCATGGTTTTAGAAAATGTCCTCTTCTAAAATCATAAAACTTAATTTGATTGTTACTACTTGCAATTTATTCTGTTTAAGATCCAATGCAGGCCATTCTTTCACACAAGTCTAAACTCAAAATTATCTGTTGATACATTGGAGAAAAATTACTTCTTGTAATTATTAGATATGTTCTTTTATTGATCTTTGTTGCAATGTGTCATATAATAAATGAGGTTAGGTCCTCTAATTACTGTCTATATCTGCTTAGTGTTTATCACGTGATGTGTTTCAGGGATGCCTACCTTTCCTTACATTTATGCGGATGATCTGATAGATGTTTTGAAAAAGAAACATGCTTCTGGGACCTATAAAAGCTTGGTAAAATTATATTCAGTGTTACTAAATGCATATTATATCTCTTTGGTGAACTCTAAATTTTGTTGGACCATATTTTGAAACTGCAGGTATTTTATCTTGAAGCTTGTGAGTCTGGAAGTATCTTTGAGGGTCTTCTTCCTGAGGGTTTAAATATATATGCAACCACAGCATCAAATGCAGAGGAGAGCAGTTGGGGAACTTATTGTCCTGGAGAGTATCCAAGTCCTCCCCCAGAATATGAAACCTGCTTAGGAGATTTGTATAGTGTTGCATGGATGGAGGACAGGTATCTCCAACATCTCTGATTTTCTGAAGTTTTGTCACTGAAGAAGGAAAATGCAACCCAACTGACATTAGGATCAGTTTGGTAGTATTAAAAATTTAAAAGTAATCGCAGCTCTAACATGTGACTCTATATATTAGAAAGAAAAAAAAAAAAAAAAAAAAGAACCAACTTTTAGCTGGATGGTATGACTTGAGCTAAACTGCTACTTTCACATGCAACTTATGCTTTGACCTCTTGGCACCATGATTTCTATTTAGATGTTCTCTAACAGGCAAAAGGTTAGAAAAACAATGTTCGAATGGTAAATCATTTTGTGCAAGTATTAATTAAATTTCTGACTTTGTTAACAGTGACATACACAATCTGCGGACAGAAACTTTGCGTCAGCAGTATGAATTGGTAAGATTTTTTTGGTGACTGATTTTTTTGAACAACTTAGGAAAAGTCACATCTTATGTATTACAACTGTTAAGAATTTTGAACAATTGGTAAGAATTGAAAATTGTTTATTTTATAAGCATATGCTTAAGTCCGTAAACCGATTCAGTATTCCTCAAATGGTGGGCCTGTGATATCTTCGTAAAAATCAGGAGTGTAGACAGTAGTATAGAAGTTGTCTCTGAAGGGTCTTACTCTGACTTGGCCAACATGCTTTATGCGTTCTTTTATATGCTCTTTAGAATTGCTTACATTGATTTTTAAGATTTACTATGCTGTCATTTGCAGGTTAAACTAAGAACTTCAAATGACAATTCTGCATATGGCTCCCATGTCATGCAATATGGTGATGTAGAACTTAGCAAGGAAAACCTTTTCCTGTATATGGGTACCAATCCTGCAAATGATAATTTCACTTTTGTGGATGCCAACTCCCTGAGGCCAACTTCAAAAGCTGTCAACCAGCGTGATGCTGATCTTTTACATTTCTGGGACAAGGTCAGTATAGATCTTTGTATACACCACGTTGAATTAATGAAATATGGGTTGGCTATTTTTATTTACATATTTAAGGACAAAAACTAAAATAAAAATAAAGAGATTAGAAATCGAGGAAGTTTTGTAGTGATTTAAGAAAAGAGAAAGTAAAGAATACTAGAAGAAACAAAAAAAATTTAAGAAGATAAAACTAATTCAATATGGAACAGGAGCCAAATATATGCAACTTGAATATGGTATGTAAAGGAAACTTGGTGGTAGAATGAGGAAGTCCAAGCAAATATTAAAACAGAAAGTTCATCATTAATCCAGCGTGGTCCCTTTTAACCGTGGGTGCTGGGGTATAGACTAGAATAGACTTAACCTTTGGCATTATTAAAATAAAGTGATTGCTGTCAGAATTTGAATCCATTCCTACGCTAGACAACCCAAATATTTGTTTTCATAGCTATGGATGAACTAACTAGCTTGTTGGGTTATATGTTTTAATGTTTTCTTGCTGATGATGTTGTTTTAATAAACGAAAATAAAGTAATTAGAGATTTATAAAGAAGCCATGAAATAAAGTGGATGTAAGATCAATAGAAAAAAAACTAACTAAATATGTAAAATATAACTAGCAAAATCAGGAATACGATGGGAAAAATAAATTTCATGCTTGGATGGATTGTATAAGTAGCTGCAAGTTGTGAGAAAAATAAATAAATAAGCTTTCTTCGTTGTGTACAAACATCATCAATCTGATCAAATATTGTTTTCCTTTTTTTTTTGACTGTTTATAGTTCCGCAAGGCTCCTGAAGGCTCTCCAAGGAAACTTGAAGCTCAGAAGCAATTTGCTGAAGCTCTATCACATAGAATGCACGTGGACAATAGTATAAAAATGATTGGAAAGCTCTTATTTGGAATTCACGAAGGTCCTGAGGTGCTGAAGACTGTCAGGCCCGTAGGGCAACCTCTTGTTGATGACTGGGAATGTCTGAAAACACTGGTAAAATTTTCATTTTATTACCATTTGCAATTGTTTAATTTTAATTTTCAAAAGTTATTACCCTTATCCCTGAATCCCAATTTGACCGAGGCATAAATGGCAAGGTTATTTATAGAGAGGTGTGGGTTTGGTATTCAACACCTCGCAAGCATAATCACACAAATCATGCCCTTGTGTCCAATCCTACTATCGTGGCATGCTATCCGATGCAATGACATTAATTAATACATCTTTTGATCATGTTACCTTCAAATTTCATTACAGAGACCTTTAATCATATACTTAAAAGTACAATTGCTCCACTTGCATCATTTTAGCATGCTTTCAACATTCCAAAGTCACCAAGGGTACCAAAATAGCAATAAGACATCATTTCAATCAAAGTGAACTTCATAAGAAGAAACACTCGTGTAGGCGCACATAAACCACATGGCTATCACATAATAGTCATGCTAGTACATCAATTCAACATTATAAACATAAAATTTATCAACTAGAATCATAGAATTCAGATCTTAGCACATATACACTACTAAATAAGCATTTTCTAGGGTTTGATCCATGTTTTCTTTGCATTTTATAGCCATAGTGTGTGTGAAGCATGCCTAGAACCCCCTACCTCAACTAGGAGCAAACCCTAGAAAATCCACCCAAGGCAAAGTAAGCCAAATGTAAAAAGAAAACTGTAGAAATGGAGCTGTCGTTGTGCTCTATGCTTTTCCTTCTATGGCAACTCCGGATTCAAAGTGCAACTAGATGATTCAAGGGCTTGAACTATGGATCAAAAAAATGAAAAATGAAAAGGAAGATAGGGAGAGAGATATAGCCGGCTACGGGAGAGGCTGAAAAATGCCTTCTTTATCCTCAGTCACTCATATATATACTAGCCTTACCTACTAAAGTCAAGGTGGGTCCCACTTCTCCCTTTCTATTTACCAAAATTCCATTTCTTAAGTTATATGCATTAAATTTCCATTTCGTGACATTATGAACGTGCTACTTGTTAATGCTATGTGAGAAAGCATGAGTTGAAGTGATAGATGCATTCGGTTTACGCATGATATGTGACATATATGTGAGATCACCAGAGAAAGGTTTGACACCCTTATGAGTGGAGGTTGTGTTGTCGTCGTGAGTTGTCCATCAGCCATTGGTGTGAGGAGTTTGCCTCCATCTTGATTGAGAGTGGGCATTCACGACTGGATGACTGTGCGTGACGGAGTGGTTGTGTGCACTCTGGGGGTGGATTGTTAGTCCTTGGGAGAGCAAGGCCTCTTCCCCTTCCTTGACCTAGTCCTTGTATGAGACTTCACAATTGGCGAGTTTCAATTTTTTCAGTAGTTTAATGTGGCTTTTTTGCATGACGTTACCTGTTCCTTCCTCATTCCAATGTTATGCATGGTCATTTGATGATCGGTGTTGAGGTTTCAAGGCCCATTTTGAGGTCGTGATCGTGTTGATCACATACGTTGACGGCTGTGTTTTGCTTCCGCACTTGGGCGTCGGGTCCGGTTTACCTTTCCATTTCTCATGAACTGGGTCTTCAGGATTCGGGGCAAGACAGTGGTTGAGGAGATCCCCCCCCTTCTTTTGGGTCCTATGGACTTAAAAAAATGCTAATTTGGTAGAGGAATCATTTCAGGCTGGATGCGCTTTTATAATATTATATTTTATCTTTTGTGCAGGTTAGGACATTTGAGACGCACTGTGGATCTCTATCCCAGTATGGAATGAAACACATGCGCTCCATTGCTAACATCTGCAATGCTGGAATAGGGAAGGAGCAGATGGCTGAGGCGTCCGCACAAGCTTGCGTCAGCATTCCTTCTGGTCCTTGGAGCTCCCTTCACAAGGGTTTCAGTGCATGATTGAAGTGGGGTGCACGTCTGAAAGACCAATTCCTTGAATGTATTCTGTATTTTGGTGTTTATATTCAAATTAAGGTCATCGTTTTGGTTAGTTGTTCGTCAGTACGATGCTTCAATGTAAATACAGCTCAGAAGCACATCCTTATCCGACCAATCTGTCATATGAAACTGGATGTTCCTACTGTTAAGTAATGTTACAATCTTAAATGCGTGATATACGATTATGAAACTGGATGTTTGTACTGTAAGTAATGTTACAATCTGAAATGCTTGATATACGATTTATGAAACTGGATGTTCGTACTGTAAGTACAACCTTAAATGCTTGATATATGATTTTGTATTAGCATGTGTCTACTTAAATTATTGATTGAAGCATCGAGTAGAAACAAAAATAGGTTTAAACAGTTACTCCAACTGTTCTAACTTCCCTCGATTGCTTTTCCAATTTTCTTCCTGGCTGTCTTTTCCAAACTTCTTGTATTTAACAGTCGATCGAACTCTTCTAGGGCTCATTTGGACTAGCTTTGCTTTTACTTTTACGCAGAAAAAAAAGAGAAGCAAAAGTTAGGACTTTCATTTGGCTTATTTATTAGTGTTTGGTAACGGTATTTTTGGAGTGCTTCTAGTTTAACATAGTGCAAGCATAGAGACATTTTCTTCACACAATCTCTAGCGTTGTCAAAATTTATGAAAACCTAGATGAATTTACATGATAAAGAGTTGCTATATCTAGCAAAGAATTTGCTTTATCTGTCTCATGAAATGATGTGAAGAAACTACAACATCGTGTAAAAGCAGAACAATATACAGATATAAACTTGTATACTTCCCCCTTAACAAGTCAAACAAAGGAAATTACGTACAATATTTGCACCCAAATGACATCATTGCATCCATGCCTCCTATCTCATACATAATATATACATATATACACACACACAAACACACATACATAGTTGAAATAGTCTTCACGCATCTTGAATCATTTAAACTTGACCTCGAACCCCCTTTCTGGATCTGGTCATCTCTTGATGAAAAGACGACGTTGAAATAATGAGCAAATCTTCGTCTGGAAAACAGACAACGACGAACTATTTCACATCTCTGCTTAGATAACAAGGTAGGGAAAAAAAAGTTGTATTAAATAATGTGACAAATAGTTAAACATGTGATAAATGCAACCAAAATGAGACCTACACTGGCCTGCCAAAGTGTGTGAAACGATTTGCAAAATTGTTAAAAATGAAATGGACAGTATTTTTATTCATCCAGCTGAAATATTTAAAAATTGCGCTGCATAAATACATGATTGAAAATTCAGTTTGCTAAACAATTGGCGAAATTTTGGGCAAAATAGTAAAATACAATTCACATAACCAATCCCAAGTAGTTGGAAAAAGCTTAGTTGAGTTAAGTTGGAATGAACCTTTTCATAGCTGAAGTACTTTTCTGCTTTCTTCATCCCTGGAGCCCCACATTTGCCTCTCTTCCATCGACTGGAGCTCCACAAATATAGCAGTCCAGGACCTATGGCAAATTGGAAACAATATATAAAATACTTTGCATTACTTATAATTGCACAACATAAAAAGGATTCTATGGGCCTGTTACCGCTCGTTTTTCGTGTTTTTTTTTTTTTGTTACGAATGGCGTTTCTGTAGCAAAACAAAACATAAAAGCGTATTTGGTAACTTTTGTTACGATTTAAATAGTACCGTGGTTTTTTTTTTTTAAATGCCAAAACCGAAAACACGAATTCGGTGGTGTTTCCAAATATTTCCACACGATAACAATAACATTGCAACAATGAACAATACCCAAAAAAAAAAAAAAAAAACCTTAATGACCTTTTAAACTAGTCATTTTATTATTCAAACTTGCAACATTTTTTTACCAAACATGTTTTCATATTTTTGCTTCCAAAAATCTTGCTATAAATTTTACGTCACCAAACATGCTTCCAATTACTATTGAACACAATGCACAATAGTAATGAAGCAAATTAAAACACATGAGCTTATAATTCCAAACAAAGACATAAACATGCCATAGAATTAAAGTGAGGGCGAGTCTTGGCACAACGGTAAGTTGCTTCTAAACAATGAAACATGTAATGGCGGGAGCCTCCGCACTGGTTTTCCTTTCTGCCCATAGAATTAAGGTTTTTGAAAGCAGATTAAAGCCAGATAGAGAGGGCAGCTTTAAATACAGAAATATAACAAAGAAAAACACTAGGAAATTATATACTCCAAAAATGCACAAAGAAATACATATATATGTACACTTATCACAAATATATGTGTGTGTTAACTATGCAAAAAGTTCGTAAGAAAAAGAAGATACCTTTGTTGCAAGAACATGTCTTGTACTTGTAATCTTCACCAGCTCTTCAAAATAACCTTTGGTACATGTGCTATCTTCCACCAATCCTCCCCCTTTCCCTTCTCGCATCGCCTTTTAAGTCCAGCGCATTCCACAATCGTCAAAGTTGAGAGATTGGTTAGGCATTGAACGCTGTTTGGAAGTGATGGAACCTTGGGGCATTCCCAAATGTCCAAACACTGAAGTGATGTAAGATTTCCTAACCAATCGGGCAACGATGCTAGCTCTGGATGACGGGTGATGCTTAGAGATTGCAATGCACGGACATGCTGCAAGGCCTCTGGCAAAACCACCAACTTGGGATTTCCCGAAATCTTGAGTTGCTTAAGGGAATGGAGGTGTTTAATACCCTCCGGCAGAAAGAGCAGCTCAGGGCATTCCCAAACAATGAGACACTCAAGGGATTTGAGGTGTTGTAGTCCCTCAGACAAGGAACTCAATTTTCTGCAGTCACGAAGCTCTAAATTGCGTAGAGAGTTGAGGCCTTGCAGTCCTTGTTCTGGCAAAGACTCAAGCTTGTAACAATTTTCGATAGTCAATGACAAAAGAGCACTGAGGTTAGATAGTTCGGTGGGCAACACTCTAAGCTTGGTAAATCTTTCGATTTTCAATGATCGAAGAGCAGTGAGGTTTTGCAGCATCCCATCCGGGAAAGGGAATTCACCATCATTCCACCTAATCTCAAGAGAAGTAAGACAACTAAGCTTTGAGATTAAACCAAGTAAGACATTACTATTTCCAGATACTTGTAAATCCTTGACTGGCATAAGGCATGGCAAGGTCAATTTGGGGCAACTGCTAATTGACAACCGGGAAAGACAAGGGAATACATGTCTTCCTTCCTCTCTAGAAAACCTTTCCAAACATGGCAACCTGTAGATCTCGAGTGTCTCCAACGATGGAAATGTCGTTATTGCTGCTACACCTTGGGTATCATCATCAATGTACTTGACATATTTCATTCCACTTATTTTAAGATGCCTTAGGGAAGGCAATCGACCATACGGTGGAAGATTTGGACAATTTTTGCAGTTATCGAGTTCAGTTCTAACTAAATCTTTAAGTACCGAATTCCTCATCCAAAGTGGGAAAGAGGTACCTCGATACTCTTTTATGATCAACTCTTTGAGTTTTGGGTGAGGTTGAAGAGCTTCAAGTACTTTCTCAACATTTTGTTGCACTTCATATTCACCTTCAAGACCCCAACACAAACCCAAGCTGTAAAGCTTTTGTTTTCCAACCAAATTGGCTTCTCCAGCATCCACCCAATTCCCTACCCTCTCAAGGTGTTCAATACGTAACCTTCCTCCGAGGTTTAAGCCTTGCAATTCACGCAGTTGAAAACCTCTCCTCCTCTCCACAATGAAAAGACTTAACGTCTTGAGGTGGATTAATTGCCCAATTTTTGGAGCAAATTGAGTTAAACGACAATCTTCCATAAAAAGATATCGGAGATTAGTTAGGCACCTCATGCGTTTGGGTAACCTCTGAAACTCCCAACAATGATTAAGTTTTAAGGTCTGCAAATTCAGTAGGGTACACAATGACTCGGGAAGTGACGTAATCCAAGTCGAAGAAAGGTTCAAGTACCATAAATGAATTAAATTGCCAATTGAAGATGGCAACTCAGTTATACGAGTATTGCTTGCATCCAAAACTCGCAAAGTACTAAATTTCATGAAATCACAAGAAAACGAATGGACAAATAATGTTCGCAAGGATTCAACTTTTTTTAATTCTTCAGTGTCACAAACAGATGTGACATGGCGAGTTCTTCTATTTAATATATCATTTGACCTTCCAACTTCCATCGCATGACATTCATCTTCCATAATAGATTGTGCAAGATCATGAACAAGATCATGCATCTTGAAACTTTGAATGTTGCCAAAATCATCATTCATCAGTACTTCTTGAAAAAAAGACCTCGAATACAATTCATTCCATATGCCATTACCAATTTCTTCTAGCTCCATCCTCCCATTAGTTGAAATAAAACCATTAGCCATCCATAGATGAATCATATTATCCTTTTCGATTCTAGAACCCTTCGAAAATATGACACAATAAGCAAAACATTGCCTACATTCTGATGGAAGATCATGGTAACTTAATCTTAATGCCGGAAATATGGAGTTTTCATCTTGCGGTAAATTCCAAATTTCACTTTCTCTAACACAAAGCCACTCATTTTCCCCACTTTTGCGTCGCATTAAGCTTCCAAGAGTCTTTGCTGCTAAAGGCACACCCCCACACTTTTTCACTATCTCCATCCCGATGGCCACAAGATTTGGACACTCTTCTGTTTCAGGTCCGAATGCTTGTTGCTTGAATAATAACCAACAATCATTTTCTGACAAACCCGACAAACGATATATAGGGAGTGTTCCCAAAATTGATGCCACATTTTCAAGTCGAGTAGTGGTAATAATTGAAGCACCTCTTGATCCACATGCTACTACACATTTTAGCTTATCCCATTTTTCTTGATTAACGTTCCACACATCATCTAATACAAGCAAATATCTCTTCCCATTCAACTTTTCTCAAAGCTGTCTTTGGAGGGGATCTAGCTCCAAGTCTTCACAAAATTTCCCAGACACTGATTCTATAATTGATTTTAAGATCCTCTTCACTTCAAAATCTTCCGAGACACAAATCCAAATTCTCAGCTCAAAATGCTCAATTACACACTCATCATTGAACACTAACTGGGCAAGTGTAGTCTTTCCCAGCCCTCCAATACCAATTATAGGAAGGATCGAAACATCCTTGCAATCACTTACCCTAGTCACCAGTTGTTTAACAATACTTGCCTTGTCACTTTCTCTTCCATAGACTTCTGGTCGAGTCAAAATGGAGCTGGTTTGGCGCCATTCAGGAATCCCAACTCGTTTGGTCACAACCACATCATGCAATTGAAAATTTCTCCGCTCTTGAGCAATTGCATCCAATTTTTCC